AACTGTGCTAATGTATTTGCTCCCTATTTTTGAGTGCGACTTAATATATGTAGGGGTAGACTCTCAATATAGCGTGGAATATTCCCTCGATTACGGTCTCAACTGTGAGAGTTTTTTTGAGCTTGGGAGTTGATTTCAGAGAAGACCAGCGACACCAAGTCCCCAGTCAGTTGACCTACAGATTTTTGGCCTACATGACACTTGACCTACGACATTTAACCTACGTTATTTTTACCTTCGCTGTTTGGCTTACAATACAATTTGACCTACGCGTTTTTTGACCTCACGTACATTCGACCTAACCCCGATTTTCGTCATATTTAACCTAGTGTTTTTTTACCTCGAAAAAAGGATAAATGCTCCTGATGAGTATCTTCTTCAGAGAAGAATATTCGTAATTATCAAATGTTGGGGATGAAGTGTCACTTTAGTTATTGGGGAAAAACTTGGATTCTAACCTTATTATTCTCAGTTATTTTATCTTTCCTACAAAATTTCAAATTCTACTTTATTCGGTCTCGGCTTGTAGACCCACCCCACATCTTCCTTCTTTAACCAGAAAGTGACCCTGTGGAAAAATCAATTTTTGAGCTTACGCGTTAAAAATTGTGTATAAATATATATATTCAAGTATTGAGTAACGCACTTAGGGGGGACGTAGGGGGTTTGAGGCAGCGTTATGGTGCGTAACAAGGGGAGATGGGGGGGGGGGGCCCAGCGTTTTTGTAACCACTGCTCCAAGAATATTTGGTTGCATAATGCTAAATCGTTTGGTTGGGATGTCTCGCCGGGAGAACCACCAGTCCTTGTGACTGGGGGGGGGGGGGGGTTAGTTAACCGAACCGCGGACAACGGTGACTGCACTGTAGGCCTCGATCGTGGGACCGGAGAACACAATAATACTTCTGTGTTGAAGTGTGTTGAGGTGTTACCTGCTCAGCTACCATGGGAACCCGTGTGACATTATAACCGTGCTTTCACTATCCAGTAACCGCGTACCGGTTAACCGTGTTTTTTTCTCCGTGAAAGCTATAGACACACTTGAAAAAAAAAAAGTCTGCTACGGTCAAGCCGTCTCGGAATCTTGAAAAAAAATCAGCTTGATTCAAGAATTTTTATCTTAAAACAAGCAATTCATTGCTAAATTCAAGATTCGAGATTCTTATCTGCAGCTACCTTATAGCTTGGATCACCTGTTAGCTTGATTTAAGCAGCACAAAAATCTTGAGTCAAACCTGCTGAGTCTTCCATCAAGCCACCATGGCTGCTAATTCTAAGAAGTTGTTTCTTGATTCAAGATACTGTATACTCGATTCAAGAATCCTGGTTTCAAGCATGACACGAATCTTGGAAATAGCTGAAAAAATTAGACTTAAATTAAGTTTGCAGCCAACTTCTTGAATTATGTTTCCATTGGATTGTAACCACTCCGCCTTCATTTTCGACACGGGCATTAAGTTATACATTCCTACATTCTCAAGTCATTCCAGGAGATCTCCAAGAGCCGCGCATTTTAACAGTGCTGCAAACCGAGAACAAAACCCGCGGCAACGCACGACGACCTCAACATGATCCATGTCGAAGAATCAGTAACGTTTTATCCCTACGTTACGGAATTCTATGAAAAATGAATAAAACTTTCAGTATTTAGTATTGGATCCGAGCATTAAACGAAAAATAATTTAGATTCCGCCGGGTAGCTAATTTCAAGCAGCACGGCAATGCTTATTTCAATCTATACGTTCCTTGGCGGCTTTAAGATTTTTTCCAGCTTGCTTCAAGTTGATTTTGATTTGTTTCAAGCTACTTTTTTTTCCAGTGCAGAGAAGACTTAGGGCAAATGAAGTAATCCTATTGGTGGAAGTGGGTGGTCGCCATGGACAAAGGAGGTTAGTAATATACTAACTAAAGGCAACCGATAAGACATCCTACAGTTAGTCCATCATTTTCCCCCGAAGTCTATAAGAACCGCCTGTTTCAACCAAAAGGATCGCTCCATACTTCCTATGTCTTCTTTGTCTATCAATTTCAATAATCGGCACGCAGAACAGAGAACACAGTTACATGAACCAGATAGTTCGGCCGACAAAGAACGCTGAGCTCTCATAGTTCCTATAAACGCACGTGCTTAACTCTACGTATTGTATAAGTACATTTTCAATCCTTCTATAACAACTTTATTTCTTCTTTTATTTGCACAAAGGAAAAGTACAATTTTTCCCTCTTTTATTTTCACCAACTGAAAGTACAAAAGTTAGGTACATCTTTAGACATCTGTGTGTCTTTGTAAAGCTTAAAATACAAAACGAAACTAATAAAATTTTAAAACTGATAGATTACCTCCTCTACATATCGAGGAGAAATATAAAGACACGATAATTGCTAGATAATCGTAAAAATATCTTTTTGTTTGAATTTTTTTTGTGGACGACCGGACCCGATCGAAGTCCGAAGAGCATGGGAAGACGCACATTGATCAGTGGCGTGGCGTGGCGTGCGCTTTGCGATATATCGATTGATCTCTGCCTTTTAACCCCATGGAAAAGGCTCGATAAACAGGGTGTTCGCAACGAACACCGTAATGATCGATTCTTTACCATAGCTTCAAATAAGGAAATATCGAAAATCGATCGTTCACGCGTCACGCCTCGTCACTCACGTTGATTATTGTAGAAGGAAATAATTTTGTGAACCCCATGAATGGACCACTAGACAAGGTACGAATTTCAGCATTCTGATACATGATTCTTCTCTAAAATTTCACGTAAAGTAGGACGCACACAACGAAAATTACCGAAATCAACTTCTTCCAAAGATATTTAATGATTCTTGATGCGTGAATTCAAACCACCCGCTCATGAAAACTCAATGCTCTACGTGATTCACATCGCGCGCTAAACGTTATCATGACAGTCTCTACGATATACAAATCTGGCAACCTCAATCTTGACGCTTTGGCTCAGCTATAGCAAATTGCTTATAGTTTGAACAACACATGGTGGGAAATGTGTATTGCTCGATTGAGAAGCTTGCTGAAACCGTTGTAGTGCGCGATTTGACTCATGTAGAGCTTTGAGTTTCTTGTGAGCGGGCAGTTCAAATTCCTCGTAACCAATGTGAAATAAAAATGTTAATATCTCCGTTGGGAGTTGGTTTCAGTAATTTTTGTTGCGTGAATCTTGTTCTTCGTGAAATTCTGGTCAAGAAACATGTATCAGATTGCTTAAATTCGTTTCTTGTCTAGTGGTCCATTTCAGGCTCATGAGATTTTCTGCGTTTTATCCGACTTTCCCACTGGTCCACTTCTGGAAGAACGCCGTATGAACATTCGAGAGGCGCCAAATTTCCTCTGATAAAATGTTTATTTTTGAGGAAAGTTACGAATATTTTTACTCGAAATTCTCAGGAACTTTAGGTGAGATTGAGAACAAAATTATCTTAAAAATCGGAAGAAAAGTATTCATAGGTCTACCGAGGAATTCGGTTTTTATAAAAGGGAATTTGGCAATACTTCAAGGTTCATGCGGCGTTTTCCCTTGGCACGACAGACTCCCAGAAGGGCGAGAGCTTCTGGATTGGTTTGCCGCACAGTCACAGAGTACATAGAGTCGTAATGTAAGTGGGAGAGCTGGCGCCACTTTTAAGCATTTTTCATGTCCCGAATTCCGAGACTCCTGTGTGACGCCGGGTCACTCTTTCGATACATAATCGATTGTTTGCGATACACGGGTACCCGACCATCCGATGACAACAACAACAAAGGAGATAGGAATTACCACGTATTCCACACCGCCATTTTGGATCGAAAATGTATCGAAAAAGCGACCCGAACTCGTTGCACACCGGGCTCGGAATTCGTCGAGCAGAACATGGCGCCAGCTCTCCAATTTACATTACGACTCTATTTACTCTATGCGCACAGTGGATCGAGTCAATTAGAGAGGTGATCGGACATGAAATTTTTGACTAAAAGTGCAAATTTTGATATTTAATTCGTCACATTTTAAATTTGAGGGGTGTTTCTAAATGAAAATTGCACGAGCAAACCAATGGAACCATTTTGAAAATCTCAAAGTTTTGATTTAACGGAGTTATAAGCCGTTTGTTTGAACGTCGTTGTCCGAACGGTCGAACTTGCTTTGAAGTTTCCACATCTTGTCCGACCTCTCCTATTCACTCGATCCTGGGTGCCGATGCAGTCGAGCTTCATAACATCAGTGGCGTGGCGTGAATTGCGATATATCGATTGTTAGGCCATTTAAACCTATGAAAAAATATCGATTATCAGGGTGTTCGCAGCGAACACCTTAGTAATCGATTCTTTACCATAGCTTCAAAGGCGAGATATCGATAATCGATTATTCACGCCACGCCACTGCATAACATACATATCGACGGTGAAACTACCAAACCACGTATCTCGTTTGCGGTGTTTAAAAATCTGCGCTCACATTTTATTTTTTTGAAGCAGACCAAATCAATATCATTCCTTGAAATTTTCACCGAATATTCTCCGCACGAAGAGAAAAAATCACAGAAATTTTCAAGACTGGACGTTAAGTAGTTTTTCATTTAAAAAATAGAGTATGACAGGAAGTTTGCGACGTCGCAAACCGAGATACGTGGTTTGGTAGTTTCACCGTCGATATATGCACTGCATATTATGTAAATAAATTACTACATATTATGCAGTATGCAGTGTACACATATTGGAAATGTCAGTACTGTCAGTATACCTCCACGGAATGAATGTTAAGGTCAGCGAGAATTTCTGCATTCCTCTCTCATGCCAACGAGCTTCAGCGATGATTTTGTTACCAACGTTGTATCAATAAGGAAATGGACATTCCGTATCTTTAACCCTAAAATCAGTGGTGGACAGAGGCGGATCCATCAATTTGGCAACATCGGATTTCCTCCATTTAAATCCATATTAAATAATCGATTCATATCGGAGCACCCGGCCCCTCCAAGAATCGATGCATTACCGTGGGGTTTAAATGAAGAAAAACAATGTTGCCAAATTGCTGTATCCGCCAATGGTGGTGAAGCAGGGCGGAGCATGATTCTTGTATGTACAATGATTTTTGATTGAATGTCGTTTACTTTCACTATTCATGTCCATAGACGTTGACGCTTCGGTGTGAAGCCTTGTTGCATGCCTCGGGAGTTATCTTGTGGAAATGGGGCAATCACTATTCCACCATAAGCTTGTAGACCCACCCCACATCTTCCTTTTTTGACCAGAAAGTGACCCTGTGGAAAAATCAATTTTTGAGCTTACGCGTTAAAAATTGTGTATGAATATATATATTCAAGTATTGAGTAACGCACTTAGGGGGGACGTAGGGGTTTGAGGCAGCGTTATGGTGCGTAACAAGGGAAGATGGGGGGTCAAGCCCAGCGTTACGTAACGAGTTCGAGCTGGGGGGAATAAAAACTTTGAAAAAAACGAGCGAAAAATTGAAAATTCCGCCCATACCGAATAAAATTGGGAGGGAGAGGCATGCCAGCGTTATGTAATTCACAAGGGGGGTGTAGGGCTGCGTTACAGGGGGGATGGGGGGAAGTTAAGCCCAGCGTTACGTAACGATTTCGAGCTGGGGGGAATAAAAACTTTGAAAAAAACGAGCGAAAAATTGAAAATTCCGCCCATACCGAATAAAATTGGGAGGGGGAGGCATGCCAGCGTTTTGTAATTCAAAAGGGGGGTGTAGGGCTGCTTTTCGGCTGCGTTACAAGGAGAGATGAGAGGAAGTCAAAAATCGGGAAAAGTGCGTTACGTATAATACTTGGACGGCCCCATATTGAAAGAACTCAAACTGTTGTACAATTTAGGAGAAACCCCTGAAATATATATTTGAACACTTTTTGAAAAAATTTCCGAAAACACTGCCAGCAAGTTAAGGTAAAAATATTTTTAAAACATTTTTGTTTACGTTTTGTCATGTACTTGTTGACAGTCAGTTATTATTATCAGTTATTTATTTATCTTTTAAATTGAGCTATTATTGTTATTGACAACATTTTGACATTATTTTAAAAATTCTTTTGAAATGAATAGACGTTCAACCTCGATAAAGCATAGCGACCTTCGATTATCCTAAATAAAATATTATGGCATATATTAATTAAAAAATAATGGTATCAATTGAAGTAATGTCTCACCTGTAAGCCCCAACTACTGGTTTCACTACCCCGAATAATCCACGCATCTGAAAATGAAATTTATTAGTTGATTTTTTCTTCTTCTGTATTGTAGAATATTCAATGCAGTTAAGTGTCAGGGGTACAAAAAAATGTATCTCCTCCCTTATGCATCTTCGCTCCTCTATTGGCCGAACGTTGTCATTGACCATCGTTCTCCACTGCCGTGGTAAGGAAGAACGCCCTATGAGCCACCAGGCGTAGCCAGATTTCCTTTGACAAAATCACAACTTTTCAGGATTTGTTGATATTTCTCTTCCGACGTCATGGAGACTTTTGCTCGTAATGGACCACTAGACAAGGTACAAATTCCAGCATTCTGATACATGGTTCCTAACCAAAATTTTGCGTAGAACACAACGCGCACGACGAAAATTACTGAAATCAACCCCTTACGAAGTTATTAAAGGATTCTTGATGCGTGAATTCAAACCACCCGCACATGAAAACCCCATGCTCCACGTGATTGACATCGCGCGCCAAACGTTATCATGACAGTCTCTACGATATACAAATCTGGCAACCTCAATCTTGACGCTTTGGCTTAGCTGTAGCAAATTGCTTATAGTTTAAACAACACATGGTGGGAAATGAACATTGCTCGATTGAGAAGCTTGCTGAAACCGTTGTAGTGCGCGATTTGACTTACGTAGAGCTTTGAGTTTCTTGTGAGCTGGCAGTTCAAATTCCTCGTAACGAATGTGAAATAAAAACGTTAATATCTCCATTAGGAGTTGGTTTCAGTAATTTTTGTTGCACAGATCACGTTCTACATTAAATTCTGGTTAAGAAATACGTATCAGATTGCTTAATTTCGTACCTTGTCCTATGGTCCATTTGATCTAAAAAGTCTGCAAATTGCAAGGAAAAACATCCATAACTTTCTTTACAAATAAGTATTTTCTGAGAGAAAATTTGGCAACATTCGAATGCTCATACGTTGATTTTACTTAGCATGTCAGTCTATGATTACATACTTTTTAGCGCCTCTCGCTAATCTGTCCCTCGACGTAGATGATAACATAATGAGATGATGTATATTTTAAACATTCATGCGCCTAATTTTTTTTTTTTTTTTTTTTTTTTTTTTTTTTTTTTTTTTTTTAAACGTCGTGCACATCGTTGGTGCAGTACATTTTTTCGCATCTATAAGGAATATGGTGTCTAAAGAGAAGTTTAAATTCATGAATAGATATCTCCAGCAGGGAGCGTGGAATTTGCCCAGGGTTTATTTTCATCCTAAGAAAACGTGAAATTAAAATCTGGAGGGATCATTTAGATAATTAGAATATGCTTTTTGTCTTTTTGTGTTCTGCGAAAATGCGATTTTCGGAGGAACTTTTGACAAAGTTCAGACGGGAAATGGTCAATATGGAAATACCTTTGAAATGCCCAACAATGACAACTTCGTGATTTAATTCCTTATCATTGGTGCAATGAGGGACATCGAACACTCCATAAAGGTAGAACTGGAACAAAATAAAACGGGTTTTTTGTTGCAGCCAATACAAGTTATTCGAAGTGTGAACTCAAAATTAATTTCGCATACCATATCAATTCTGTCGTGCTAAGGAAGAACGCCTCATGAACACTCGAGAGTTGCCAAGTTTCCTCAAATAAAATGTTTATTTTTAAGAAAAGTTATGAATATTTTTACTCGAAATTCTCAGGAACTTCAGGTGAGATTGCGAACAAAAACTATCTTAAAAATCGGAAGAAAAAATATTCATAGGTATACCAAGGAATTTGGTTTTTATAAGAGGGAATTTGGCAGCGCCTCAAGGTTCACACGGCGTTTTTCCTCAGCACGGCAGAATTTAGGTGCGCTATGAAATGGGACCAAACCGTTCCAAAAAGACAAACCAAACTGGACCAGACTTATGACGGTTTGAATTTTGCAGTTCAAAGAATGCAGTTTCGGGAGGAGGTTGTTTAAAATTGGATTATATTTCGTGATCAAGGACTACTATTTCATGGCTCATGCATAATATCATGTATCCTTGTCTAACAGCACCTGCGTTGTTTTCAAGATGAGGCCTGTAGGTGTAGTTCATTACTGCAAAATGCAGTCCATTTGATCTGTTTTAAAATATTTGTAATAATATTCTGTTCAGGAGTTGGTTTCAAATCTCTCATTTTTGTGAATCGTCCTCTATCCAAGCTTTTGAAGAGAAAACATGTCAACGACAGTGGTGAGGCGTGAATGATCGATTTTCGATATTTCCCCATTTGAAGCTATGGTAAAGAATCGATTATGAAGGTGTTCGTTGCGAACACCCAGTTAATCTATCCTTTTCCATAGGTTTCAATGGCAGATCAATCGATATATCGCAAAGCACGCCACGCCACTGGTCGATGGTGGAACTGCCAGACCACGTATCACAGTTTGCAACGTTGCAGACTTCCAGTACTTTCTTTGTTAAAAGGAAAAGTACTCAACGTTTATTCTATAAACTTTCTGATGATTTTTCTACTCTGTGCGCGAAGAAAACTCTGTGAAAACTTTACGTAAGAAGTAATATTCGTTGTTCTCCTTGAAGAAAATGAAATGGGAACGAAGATTTTTTTTAAACACCGCAAACGGTACATGGTCTGGTAGTTTCACCGTCGGTAGTTTGTACAGAGGCGGATCCAGCAATTTGGCAACACCGGATATCCTCCATTTAAACCTATGTTAAATAATCGATTCTTGTCGGAGCACCTGGCCCCTTTAAAAACCGATACATTTTCATGTTTAGCTGGAGAAATAGACCGTATTCGATAACGGTTCGATGTATCGTTTGGTTCAAAACAATAGAACATAACCTCAAACCAAACTGTAAGGATTTTAATTGGAAAAGCTGAAAATGAGAAATTTCCTGACAATTTCACTTTGCATTGGCATTTGGTACTCAAAAGAATAAAAAATCTGTTTCAAAAGATCCGCTCTCTCAGATTTCTGAATTTACTTTTGAGGCTATGTTTATGTTTTGAACCAATCGATATCAATACAATCTCACCCGTTTGATGTCTCGAATACGATCTATATGTTTAACTGGAGAAAAACAACGTTGCCAATTTGCTAGATCCGCCAGTGAGTTTGTAATCAACTCATCGAGTCTTTGACCCGCACTGCCATGCTAAATAGGAACGTCGTATGAACATTCGAGAGTTGCCAAATTTCCCTCGATAAACCGTGTATTTTTGACAAGATTCATGCATATTTTTTCTTGCAATTTTCAGATATTTTAGACGAAATTGTGAACAAAATTGTCTGAAAATTGAGGAAAATAATATTCACAATTTCCTCAGTAAATTCGGTTTTTATCGGAGGAAACTTGGCAACGTCCGAAGGCTCATACGGCGTTTTCCCTCAGCACGGCAGCGTAGATGATCAAAGAACTCATCTTCATACCTTGAAAATACAGTGGATATCGGATATAACGACATCGGTTATAACGACGTATCGACGGTGAAACTACCAAACCACGTATCTCGTTTGCGGTGTTTAAAAATCTACGCTCACATTTTATTTTTTAGAAGTAAACCAAATCAATATCATTCCTTGAAATTTTCACAGAATTTTCTCCGCACAAAGAGGAAAAATCACAGAAATTTTCAAGACTGGACGTTAAGTAGTTTTTCATTTAAAAAATGAAGTATGACAGGAAATCTGCGACGTCGCAAACCGAGATACGTGGTTTGGTAGTTTCACCGTCGATATCGGGCATAACGACGTAAACTGGTCGGTCCCGGCTGAAATCCCATTCATTCAATGTATTTAGGTATCGGTTATAACGACATCGCATATAACGACATATCGGTCATAGCGACGGCATTTTCGCGTCCTAACAGATGTGGCCATCGGTTATAACGACCTGAGCGACAGCAACAGAGACCGAAGAGGAGAGGATCTCGTTTCCAGACGCCCTAGAAGCCATCACAACTGTTCAAAAATTCCTAATTTTGAACCCAGAATGGAACGATTCCACTTTATCACACTTTACGCTCGGCCCATAGAGCGTTACAAAAAGGGCACACGAACGCAATTGTGAAGCAAAAAAAAATCACGGACTATGATTCAAATTAGAAGTTTTATACTTCCTCGGTATTGCGCATATGTAGTGCAGACATAATGTAGTGTGTAGTGCATGTAATCTCAATATTATAAAATACCCTGTTCTTACAAATTCAAACAAAGTGTTTTCATTAAAATTAGTCCTAGAATAAAAAAATAAAAAAATAAAAAAATAAATGAATTAAATAAATATTCAATTCAAATAAAATTAGATAAAGCTAATAAACGAAGGTGTTACTGAAGAGATAATGAATCAGCAGCAAAATTCACCGGGCCCTGGAATCCCACCTACAGCACAGCCTTGTTCTCAGCTCTTTATCATAGGGTACGTGCGTAAAAGTTCCACTATCGGTTATAACGACTATCGGCTATAACGACCGAATATGGCTGGTCCCTTCAAGGTCGTTATATCCGATATCCACTGTATTATAATCTTCATTTCTAATAAAATTTCGGTGAAACTTGCGTTTGCCTAAGCAGTTGTAGTTTCAATTTCTCTTCTTATTTCTTGTTCTGTTCATTTTTTAGTGACAGAGATGTTCCTCACCTGGGTCTCTTTAGGAGCGTACATGCTTGTTACGATTGGACCTTCTTCCAAATATTTCTCCAGTAATTCAATGTTCTGGGTCAATGCTTGTTCGGTGTTGAATTTCTTGGCTGAGAGGTCCTTGTAATCAGTGATTTTCACGTAAGCTCTTACATACGGGTTACACCGACCTTTCTCTGCTTTGTACGGGTAATAATGTGCAGTCGGCAGTCCATACACCTGAATGTTCCATATAGCATCTAGGACATCACCACCATTTTCACAATCAGAGTTTGGAGTGCAGTCAATCAGATCTACCAACAGTTAAAAATGTGCGTCAATTGCTTGAAATTCACCGCTATATATATGGGATTTCTCCACGAAACTACACTTCTTATCGTAATGCTGCAATCACACGCTGAATGTGGGAGCTGAATGTGGCTTGAATGTGGAAGTCATCGGCCCGATGCCTGAATTTCGCGCGTCACGCGCAAAATTCAGCAACGATTCTCAGCGACCATCGGATAATGTCGGATTTGTCTGAACTATTTGAATAGATTTGATACACATTTGGATGAAAATAACTCGAATTAGTGAAATTTTAGCGTGTGATTGCGGCATTAGCACAGGAAAAAAAGGTCTAGAAAATCGGGAATCGTCAAGGAATTTCATCATTACAGGCAGAATCAGGGAAAAAGTGGGGATTTTTTCATAAAGGCTTAAAATTTAAAAAACCTACATTAATAGGTCTCGAAACGAGATCAAATTCCGAACCAATTACGATCAAAGTAGACCTGTCAATGACTGATGGTCACCACGCAACAGTCCTCTTTGATCAAAATTGGACGGACCGTCAAATTTTGATCAGAATGGAAGGCCAGCATTCATCATTCCCTGCCGCACAAAACATTTCTGCCGATAAGTTTTCATTTCATAACCAAGCAAATTGACGATTTTGAGACTCATGACTCATGACGCTCTGATGGTAATTGGTTCGGAACTTTGATCGTGTATCGAAACCTCATAAACTTGAGTAAAAAAAAGAAAGAAAAAAAAGATAGCGCTCAGCTGTTATCTTTGTGGGCGCGTTTTTCAGTTCCCCCCATTAAGATAGGCATCAATTTTGAGAGGACTACACCACCACTTAAAAAAATAAATTGTAGAAAAACGATTATCGTCCTCTGTGCTTTGACTTTAGAAGCAGTAAATGAAGATATCTCAGATCAGTCTATTCTAGATATGTCAACATCAAGTTTCTCCCGCGGCCTTGAAAAAAGGCCAGACCTTCTACCGTAGCAATTGACCCATATTTTTCGAAAATGATCTAGTATCTCTGATTATTATAGAAAAAATAAATGATCTATCAGAGTCCCCTATAGATATTGGTGTTTTTAAGGATGAGTCAGAAATCGCAGCTCCCAATTGCAAATATAGTCAAATTATTTCCTCTGACTAACTCGTAAGTCATGGGTCATTAGGGCTACGTTTTACTATTAGGAACATTATAGGCTCACCCGTAAAGGCACTTATCTTCGTAGGAAAACACATAGCACTTATGTTTATTTAAAAAATGAGCTATGAACATAGTAGTTCCCGATTACGAAAGTGAGCTCATTTGGTAATCGCCATTGTAGTCCAGGCGCCTGGTAGCTAAAAATGAGGCTACCTGGAATTTTGGGTACACAGCGATTTTTTTGGCTTACTTTATGTTTTTTGGGTCGCTGAATCCGAATCTGAAGTTTCCGCACGCGTATCTGGTGAGCATTTTCCGCTATTTTGAAAAAATGGCCTAAAAAGGCCTTTTTTTGCGGATTTATTAATATAGCGGCTACGGATGAGGAAAAGTCCCGGATTTAGCTAATGTTTTGAATAGCTGACAAAATTTGGAAGAAAATGGTATATGAATATGCTAGGTTTGCTCAAAAATTGAGGAACCTCGGATTTCGGAACTTTAGAACGCTTCGGAACTTGGCTGACCGCAGCGAGCCGGATCGCGCGTTGACGGGTGCGCCGCGAAAACGTGAATAGGCGCGATGTTCACGATGCTGTATCTTCCTCAATTTTTAAGCAAACCTAACATATGTATACACCATTTTCTTCCAAATTTTGTCAGCTATTCAAAACATTGGCTAAATCCGGGGCTTTTCCTCATCCGTAGCCGCTATATCAAAAAAACCGCAAAAAGAGGCCTTTTTAGGCCATTTTTTCAAAATAGCGGAAAATGCTCACCAGATACGCGTGCGGAAACTTCGGATTCGGATTTAGCGACCCAAAAAACATAAAGTAGGCCAAAAAAATCGCTGTGTACCCAAAATTCCAGGTAGACTTACCAGGCGCCTGGACTATTGGTGCGTGGACTCACATTGTTTAGAGAGCATGATTTTCCTCCTCAGTGTGTGGGACAAAAGGACCTCAACAGCACCAACGACTGCAAAAGCCCAACATGCTCCGCATTCTCTCTCGCCTAAAGCCTGTCAGCAGAATTTTGTACAAAAAATAGAGAAAATCAATTACTAAAGGTAATGTGACGAAATAAACATCAAAATTTGCACATATGGTAAAAAATTCAATGTCCGGCCTTTCTTATTGACTCGATCCACTGTGCGCCGACCAGGTTTGCACAGGTAGAGGAGTAAGAACTACCATAGAAGTAAACAAACGATCGAGCTACTTTCTTCTGTTGTAAGATTTCATTTGTTTTCAAGCTTTTGTTTCCTTCTTCTTTCTTTATTCTGCATAAATAAAATATTTGTATCAATTGAAATCTTCCGCAAGAAGAGTTTATAACAATTTCCAAGATTGTTTGTTTATATACGTTAGGTCACTCTTCGAGCAAACCTGACTTCCAGCTACCAAGAAAAACTGCCCGCATACACGGTAAATTTGAAAAAGCGTGTTACAAACTAGCGCGTTAAGAAGCGGATTTCATACTTTTTTGATGTGCCTAACGTGATTTTTGAGGCAATTTAATCTAGAAAGTGTGTCCAGTTGGCTGTTTTTCTTGCATGCAACAGGCCTACATGGTCAAATCCGGAACGGCCCTGTACGTTCTTTGTGAGGTAAAAACAGGAAAAAGAGGTTGGGGTTAGGTCCCCAAATACGTCCAATTTTGAGCGGTTCGTTGCGCGTACACCACGCTGCAAGCACGTTATGACTACAAAATGTGAAAGAAAAAATTAAAGTGCTTTGGAAATCATTAAAGTTGAAACGGACACATTATATTTTCCTTTACATATTTTTATCCCCATCAATTTAAATGAGAATAATCCACGGAGAGTGTCCAAACATTTAAATATCATGGGTGAAAAACGCTGACTCCGCGAGTTTAAACATCAGAGTCTAACACAGATAGGAGAGGTGAGCTGCCAGCGTGAGACGCGCACTAGCGCCTACAAACCTAACGGCATTGCGCAATGCTTGAAGTATCCTTTTAGGTTTGTAGGCTCCAATGCGCTGGTCGGTCGCTCGCCGCGCGCCGCAGGGTGCCACGGGGCCTCAAGCAACCATTTTACAACTGAAGTGTTGCACGGTATCATACGAAATTGAAGGCGCTTCAACATATTAAGAATGATAGGCATCCTTTAAGAGTAGAGAGCTTTCCTCGCGAAATTAATGATGACACTACGGCACAAAAAGAGAGCGGTAGTCAACAAACTCCCTAAGTCCCAGCATCCGTATTTAATAACGTTTAGCATAACTTAAAAATTTCATTAGAAAAAAAAAGTGACTCGATGTAGGCAGAGACATTCTTAAGCATGCTGTCAAGAATATTTTATTTTTAATCAAAAATGAGATATCTGAATGAAAACGGGTTTCTGCTAAATGTAAGTGACTTTTCTTTTTATATGAGCATATTTTCTTCCTTAAACAAGCATTATTTTCTTTGTTAATTCATAAGGATATCTTCTCGGTGGTAAGTTTGAGCATTTTTTTTTTGCTTGAATTAAAAGTCACTTTTTCCTCCAATGAAGTTCCAAAATTATGCTGAACGTTATTGAATACAGATACCTGACTTAGTAAATTTTGTCTATCACTCTCTTTTTATCACTGTCACTCGATTCAATTTGCGAGGCAACTTCGTGCTTTTGAAAAATGACAAATTCTTTTTCATTCATTGTCGAAAGGTGACAAATTCTTGTTATTCCAACGACAAAGCTCGGAAAAGCAACTAAAAACTGGAAAAGGACTCCATGGGAGCACAAACTGATGAAAAATATGAAAACTGAGATACAGAAAAATGAACATTTTATATAGCAGAAAAATGACACGCACAAGCTCCAACCAAGAAAAGTAGCTCACAGCTACGAAATACAAACCGAGTGATGATTCATAGCATAAATATCAAAAAGAACTCCTTCCAAATCATACATTCTCATAAACGTCGCCCAAGGGGAGGCAGTATAAGACTGGCCCCCAGCGGCCTGGCAGCCGTGGCTTTTAAAGCCTCGCGTACCCGCGAGCGGGGCGAGCGGCGGGGTCCCAGGATGCTGGGCTTTGGGGCACGTGTCGAGGTCAACTCATCTCCGAAGGTGGCGTGTGCAAAAGAGGAAAAAAGGACTGAAATGCCTTATCACTAGAGATGGTCCGGCTCGTGAGAAAAGTGCAACGCAGAGTTGCCATAGCTAGCAGCTTGTGGCACGACAACGCCGCGCCCGCCCCCGCATCCCGGAAATTTTCGCCCTCGAAAATTGAGTTTAAACAGCCAGGCAGACTAGGGTTAAAGTTGAAAATTACCTGAGACATAGTTTCTGGGTATGAGTCGGCAGGAAATCGCCAATCCTTGATTGCGTTTCCTTGAGGAGCCGGGCCCTTGTAGTGTAAAGTCTGAAACGGTGTTTGTCTGTAAGACGGCGGGAGGGAAGATCCGCGATCCCTGAAACTCGACTTTCTGGCACTAGAATCCCTGAAACTAGGATGACGGGACGGATTCGCTGCGGGAGTAGGGGGCAACGAGCCACTCCTCCTGTTGTTGTTGTTTTTAGTGCTTTTCGCGCTTCTTCTCAACATTCGCGGCGCCAGCAGATTTTCTCCGTCAGACTTCTGGTTTGGCTCAGCGATTCCCTTAGCTGCTCTGTACTCCTCGCCTGCGAACAGGATGTCGAAGTTCCCTTGTAAATTGGCGTGAATATTAATCGGAGACAGTAAGTTTATGGCTTACCATGTCAGACCTTAACGATGTGCCTGTTGCAAACTTTTGCTAGAGCAAAAATAAGAGTTGTTTTTTATAGAAAGTGTCTCAAATATCAGGATCAATGCATCGGAAAAGTCTTAAATGCACTCTTTACTTCACAATTTGCGTTAGAAATTTGCGTTTTTTCGAGCTTTCCGCTTTAGAAACGATACCACGGCACAGATGAACATTTTGTAAGAGGAGTCATTCCCATCCAGCCCCTGCTCACAAGGATACTAAGCAATGTTCAATATAAACGACCCCAATCCACCAAAACACATGTGATGGGACGAAGATTCTCACCACCTGATAACAATCTGTGTGTTTAAATTCACATTTTTCTCGTGTTGATAGATATCCGCCCTGATAGACCTCGTGCTCTCCTCAACGGAAGCGTAGGCCATGTTGACCATGGGATTGGATGGAACGACTCCTCCAACGAAATGTTTACCTGTGCTACAGTATCCTTTTTAATGCGGGAATCTTAAAAAACACAAATTTCTTACGCCGATTCTGAAATTAAGAGTGCATTTCAGGGGTTTTCGATGCGCTCATTGTGATTTTTGAGACATTTTCTGTAAGTAATAACTCTTATTTTTGGTTCGAATTGTTCTTTATGGAAAATGGCTCAATAATCACAATGAGCGCATCGAGGACGTCTGAAGTACACTCCTGACTTCACAACCTGCCGTGCTGCTAGCGGGACACAATTAAATATTAGAGGCAATTCAATTTGAAAGGGAGTGATATAAAATTATTTGCAGGTCTAAATCAAGGCAACATTTAAGACTTGAAAAATTCTAGTTGTTTCTAGCAGTGAGAAGTGAAAAACAAGCAGTAACTCCAGCGGACTGCCGCTGGAGAGCGGCTTTGGGCCGCTCATATCCAAGACACATAGGTATAAACTACTAGCCATGTTAAGCTCGCTGTGCGAGCTGAACATGGCTAGCCGGAGAGCCTAGCCAGGGAGTACCCCTGGATCCCCAGTTCCTCGCTTCGCGATGAACTTGCGACTCGTTCCGCGAGCCGCCCTTCATAGCTATTAACTTTTAAAAGAACGAATTTACTTTTTTTTCACGAAGTATGGTGAATAGTGGTGAATATGTTATCTTCGTCCTCATCCACAATCAGCAACTTAGCATTATAAGCCACGGCCGTCATCTTGGATTTTAAATTTTGAAAATCTGACCAAAAATTCGAATTTCCCGTTGAAAAATACCTCCGGATACCGAGTTTCACGAAAATCGAGTGAACAGGAGCCGACTTAGCATTTTAGGCCATGGCCGCCATCTTGGATTTTGAAATTTTCAAAATCTGACCAAAAATTCGAATTTCCTGTTGAAAAATACCCCCGGATATAGAGTTTCACGAAAATCGAGTGAACAGGAGCCGACTTAGCATTTTAGGCCATGGCCACCATCTTGGATTTTAATCTGACCAAAAATTCGAATTTCCTGTTGAAAAATACCCCCGGATATAGAGTCTCACGAAAATCGAGTGAACAGGAGCCGACTTAGCATTTTAGGCCATGGCCGCCATCTTGGATTTTGAAATTTTCAAAATCTGACCAAAAATTCGAATTTCCTGTTGAAAAATACCTCCGGATACCGAGTTTTACAGAAATCGATCAAACAGGAGCCGACTTAGCACTTTAGGCCACGGCCGCCATCTTGGATTTTGAAATTTTGAAAATCTGACCAAAAATTCGAATTTCCCGTTGAAAAATACCTCCGGATACCGAGTTTCACGAAAATCGAGTGAACAGGACCCGACCTAGCATTTTGGCAATCAATTTAATATTTGAGGCAATTTAATTTGAAAGGGATCGATATAAAATTATTTGCAAGTCTAAATCAAGGCAAAATTAAAGACTTGAAAAATTCAAGTTGTTTCTAGCAGTGAGAAGTGAAAAATAACTCTTTAGAATTTCGTGAGTTAGATGATGACAAAAATTCCTTCTCAAAGAAATTGATCAGGCATGGAAATCGTCGGGAACTTGAACGCACAAATAGACAACAAGCCGCAACAAAAAGAAGCGCCTTTGAGAAGGCGTTGATACCACCTGTAACGAGGCAAATCCCGTTTCATCAGAGGCACATACGTCCTCTGGTATAAGATAAGCCAACGTTACTGTAGTTGCCGGAATGAGCTCGCCGGGATCCTGGATTCGGGCGCCAATTTTAAAAATGCGAGAGTTTGAAAGAGGGGAAGAATGATCAAACTCTTGTGTCTCAAATTTACAAAAGAATGTCCGTTTATTAGCTAAATTTGTGAGGATCCTACTCAACCTACACTCGA